TGCCTTCTTTGGTTATTTGTATGCAAATATATGAATATATGTGTGCATACATGAATATATATATCCATTTACTTATTCATTCATTTGGTGACTTTTCKTTAAACTCCTAGTAAGTGCCAAGCACTGTTTTAGATGTTGGGAATATAGTGTTGAGAGCAAATCTAACAAGTTTCCTCTCCTGGAGTTTTGATTCTAAYGGATCCACACAGCCTTGCATACATACAGCCCTGCCTTCACAAATAATAAAATATATTTCTCTATTATTCTGTCATGAGGCTGCACCTATGGTGTCTTACATTCTCTGAAAGTTTGATTTTTAATTCCATTTATTTCATCCTGTGTCCTGAGTGTTTCACCATTGTTCTATTGAACAGGGCTTCTAGTGTGCATATAAATGCTGTTTTAGGTGCTCCCACTCAGTGCTCCAGGTYTCTGTTGCAGATGTTTAAATGCATCACTGAAGGGAAACACAGCACCAACCAGAACTCCCCTATCTTTGCATGCTCCAGAACACCCTAGCACATCTTCCTTATCTTTTCTCCATCCTTTCTCCCTCTTCTCTGCCCTTTGCCCACTAACTCCACACATACTGGTCCTCTGTCCCTCCAGACATGCCAGGCTTATGTTACCTAAAGAGATTTCTGTGCTAATCATTCCTACATCCCAGGATACTTCCCCCTCCCCAGTGTGTTTGGCTCTCTGTTCCTCAGATCACTGCATGAATGCTACTTCCTTAGATAGCTTGACCCTGAAAACCACCCCATCTAAAGAAGCYACCAGTCACTTTCTATCATGTCCCTCCGTTTTAGATTTTTGCAATGAAACTTAGCAATATTGTATTGATTTTTTTATTCCTAATTAAAAAAAAAAATTGTTCGTCTCCCACCGGAAAATGGGTCAGCCCCAGGAAGTCGAGAAATTTGATTGTCTTGTCTGTTGCAATGTACAGGACGGTGCCAGGCTCAGAGTAAGCTTTCTGGAAGTATTTGATAAATTAGTATTTGGAGATTTGGGGGGTTGGCACTGTTTTCAAATCAATAATTATATAAAGATTTTGTCTGAGTAGAGGCCAAGTAAAATTAAATCTAAAGGGGTCTACAATAATTGGTGTCCAAAATATAAATTTTTCTTGCTAATACAAACATTTTAATCATAAAAACGTTTATTCCCTTTTATTTTGTATTTATTTCTACCCCGATTGTTTAGAGAAGACAAAAAGAATACATATCAGTTCTGGTTCCAACTGAAAATATATTACATTAACGATGTCCCAGCAGCTTGACATAATATTTTGATTCAAAGCCATGTTGGAGACTCACCTGGAACACTTTCTCTTGGCAGACTCCTTGATGGGGTTCTTGCCCAGGTGGGAAGTAATCTGTCACTCTGTGGGTTGCAGGAAACCTTAACCATGATCCCATCACAGTTCCTCCCTGTACCTACTGATGGGGAAAATGAAGGTGGAGAGAAGTTCACCAAGGCTCCAGAGCAGCCAGGGACAGAGTTGGAAGGAAGTTGCTCCTAATTCAGGGAGCCTTTCAAGGTGACTCACCTTGCTGGCCAAGGTACCTGATTCTCATTGATGATGTGTCCTCCAGTGGTTCTGAAACAAAGAGGAAAGCATATCCCCAAGCAAACCCCATGGGAATCCTACACCTTTAAGAAGAGTTGCCTCCCTAGATCATGATACCACGGGAAGGATCAAGGCCTGCTGGGAACACTCAAAACAGCACCCTGAGAACAGGACACATACTCAGACACCCGGGCCAGGAGGGCCAGGAGGAGAGAAGGCTCCATAGGAACGTTTCAAGCTGTTGCATCTTATGACCTTTGAATGTTGCAGTTGGGCACCATCTGGAGGACCTTKAATACTGGTTTTAGTGTGACTTCCTGGCTGAGAAGCCAACAAGGCAGGGTATTGCTTTGCTACTCTGATGTGTGATTGCCTTGCTAAAATAGTTTAATTCCATAGCAGCAACCCCTTAGCAGTCTTGGGATTTGGGACTGTTCGGTCTCGATTCCTCTGTTTGGGACATTTGTCCTTTTCAAGTTTCTGTTGTATCTTTTCACTTATTTTAAATTTTACTTATTTATTTACTCTAAAGTAGGTAACATGTCAAAGRCAGACAAATGAAGTAGAAAGGAATGGTCTCATAAATTCCATTTGCCTCGCTTCCATCTAATTGACCTTTTTTCCCATTATTTTCTTAGCAAAAGTTCTTTCTGAGAAATGCATAGCCTTTACAAGAACAAGTAGATTTTCTTTTTTTTTTGGTACAGTAAATCCTGATGGGCTCATTGTGCCCCAGCTGGGGAAAATGAGGTGGTAACTGGAAGGCACAATCAGAGATACACATTCCATCATCTCTGCAAGATGCAATGTCCTCAGTGATTTAGAGCAGTAGGTCTCAGCATATGATTAGGGACCAGAAGCATCAGCAGCACCTGGGAGTTTGTTCAGCATGTAATTTGGGGGGCCCCACCTCAAGCTGTAGAAACAAGAAACTCCAGAGGTGGCCTAGGGATCTGTGTTTTAACAAGTTTTCCAGGTAATTCTTGTGCATGCAACAATTGAAACCCACTGTTTAGAGCATGGTTCTCTAGGGTCCAGCGGCCTTGGTTTTATCTTAGTTTAAATACTGATCATCTGTGTGACCTTGGGCAAGTTACTTAACCTTTTTGTGGCTTCAGTTTTCTTTATTAAATTAATAAAATGAAAGTACTTAGGTGGTAGGACTGTTATGCATATGAAATAAATTACTTAATGATAGTATTTAGAACAGTGGCTCATCAAAAGTGCTAGGTGACACAATCAGAGACACACAGTTTTAACATCACCAAACCCTGTTAGTTATCTTTAATAATAACAATGAATTTTTGAGTACTTTTTATCATAATCTGTATAGTAAATGCAGATTTCCTACTTGGAAAAAAGTATATTTTCCAAGGAAATTGAGGTGATACACTTGGGTCAACTATTATAGTTCAATATTATTGTATCCATTAGAAATATCCATTGGAATGCTATATATCCATGAAAATTTTTGCTAATCATGTACCTTTAAACAGTTTTAAAAGGTAAATAAAGTTCTCACTCAGCTTTCTACTGTCTCTTTAACAAATTTTGGCATTTAGTATTTGAGGGCCTTTGCAGTTATTTGGAAATCAGTGAATCTGTAAGGAGTGTTCTCACTCTCCTCCTCCTTCTTTCTAATATCTGGTGCAAAGTATCTGTCTTTGTTATAATAAAATGGGAGATTCTAGGATATCTCTGACCAAGTGATGGTTCATGTGTTCATCCTTGCCATGGTTACTAAAGAATTACATTGATGTCCTGGGTAAATCTACTTATCTCCATGGGGGTTGCTTACGGGTGTCAGTGAAGGGAAATGGTCCAGGAGGGTGAGGCTGTTTCTGTGGGGCCTGTTGTGTTAGAGTCCTTTTGCTCTCATGATCTTTATGGATTCCCTGCTTCTACTCTGCAGTCTAACCCTCTCCTAGTCCATAGAGTGTCCTTCATTTAGGAAAGAAATCTCATCATTGGGGTCAAATACCCTGTATTAGTCTGTTTTCTGTGACTATAATGAAATACCTGACACTAGATAACTTGCAAAGAAAAGAGGTTTGTTTAGCTCACCGTTCTGGAGGTTCAAGGGCATGGTATGGGCAGTTAGCTCATCTCTGGTGAGGACCTCATGGTGGAAGCCATGGTGGAGACAGCCTGTAAAGAGAGATCACAAGGTGGGACAGGAAGCCAGAACTTGAGCAGGGAGGGGCCAGTAATGACCTTTCCCTAAATTTTACCTCTTAAAGATCCTACCACTTCTTAACATGTCCAGATAGCGACCACACTTCCAGCATATGGACCCTTGGGGGTCAAACTGCATCCAAAACTTTGCAGACCCCACCTTCCCTTTTCTCTAAGGCACAATAGAGTTGCAAAGGAGGAAGTGAGTACCTGAGAAGGAGAAGGTGAAGATGGCAGAGTACTTGAACCACTGCAATTGTGAGTTAAATAACGACAGCAGATGTTCAGTTATTTCTATTAAGAAAAAATTATTTTTCTTATTTCCTGCCACAATTGAAAAGTAGGTCTAGAAACCTTGACTGAGAAGGAGAATGTGAAGATGGCAGAGTACTTAAACCACTGCAATTTTGAGTTAAATAACTACAACAGATGTTCAGTTATTTCTATTACAAAAAAAAAAAAAAAAAACATTTTTCTTATTTCCTGTCCCAACTGAAAATTGGTATAGAAACCTTGTCTTAATGTGAACGAATGAGACACATAAACTACACATCATCCAGAGTCCACCCTGGCCTTTCTCTCCTGCATGTAGAAGCCGAATGCAGACGCCTTACCAAGGAGAACTGCAGTCCTAGGCATAGCTGTTCATTTGGCTTTCTTGATTATTTTGTTTTAAGTTTGCACAGAAGGTAGCCAATGCTGTGAAACACATGTTGTTGAAAATTGGATTTGCAGGCAGCACTTCCTGCTGCAAGATTTTCAGTAGCCTGGAAAGGTGGTTTGGGTGTCTAACGAAACTTCAGGATGTAGTATGTAGTTGTTGCTCAGAGCCCTGACAGAATGGGCCAGCGTGCCCTTTGCATTTGTCTGATTGCTTAACTGAGCAGATAGCTTTTTGTCACTTCCAGATAATAATTTTACTTACAAAGTAAACATTCCACCGTGACTCCCCCTCCTCTCTGCCACGCCACTGTTTGGTTTCTGCTGCTTTAATATCCCGGTGCTCTTGCCCTGCTGTTCCTTGAAATGGAAATGACAAGTTCTATCAAAAGAAGGCTCCTGGTGCCCACTGCCAAGGGAATGGAGGTGGAGTCTCTGCAGGAGGAACCTGCCTTTGAGATGCCTACTCTACAGTGTGCATTCATATTTGGGACCTCCGTGTCTGTATTTCTCATGGAGATATTATTATTTTTTTTGTGCTGTTGTGCTTTCCTTTTTGAACAATGTTCCCTTTGTTTTTGCCCCCCTTGAGGCTCAAAATGCCCAGCAGCTCCATGAACGAATCCAGTCGTCAAGCATGGACGCCAAACTGGAGGCCCTGAAGGACCTGGCCAGCCTCTCCCGGGATGTCACCTTTGCCCAGGAGTTTATAAACCTGGACGGCATCTCTCTCCTCACCCAGATGGTTGAAAGCGGCACTGAGTAAGCATCCTTTACCCAAACTCTGTCCTAGTTGTTCCAGCATTTTGGATGTTTGTTAAATTCCCTGTGTTTGCAGTTTCTACTTTAAAAGCTCAGAAATTTCTAGACTTAGGAGAAAATGGCTTTTAAGATAGTAGCTAGGAGTTGGGCTCCATGATGCATGCCTGTAATTCCAGAGACTCAGGAGGCTGAGGCAGGAGGATTGCAATTTTGAGGTTGACCTCAAAAGTTAGTGAGGCCTGATCTCAAAAAGAAAAACAAAAAGTTGGAGATATATCTTAGTAGTAAATCTCTGTAACACACACACACACACACACACACACACACATACACACACACACACACACACACACGATAATAGCTAGAGGATGTATTTGTAATTTCAGCAACTCTATGTCCTTTACTCACCAACTGGCCAGTATCTGAGGCATAGCAGTAATCCACAAATGCCTGAAGTTTTGTATTTTGGAGGAAAAAAATTAGGTCATTACACCTGTGGTCCTTAACAACACTAAAATTATAATTCTACAGAATATTAATCTCTCATATCTCTTTCCTATCTCTAAGGAAACTTCCTTTCCCTGATTCCATCTATTTATGTTGCAGAGTATTAAACAAGGGCAAGATATCACTCTGGAGTTTATTTTTTATTAACATTTGAATAATCAAATACATGTCATTAATTATTTAAAATTAAATGCAGTAAATATTTATTTAATGCCTACTGTATGTGAAAGAGTGGGGAGTGGGAAAATTTTCAAAGACTTGAACCTTGCTTTTCAAAAAAGGGTGGACACTATGATACAGACAGACCTCCATTGGATATAGTTCCTGCTGAGGGTAGGAGGCTAGAAGCTGCAGCCGTTCAATATCAAAGGGTCTCTCAGAGGCTACGTTGGTGAATTGGGCTGTGCAGGAACTCAGGTTCCTTCATGATAGAGAGGGACCAGCATTTCTGGTAGGAGAACTCACCTCCTCAGGGAAGGCTTTGATTCTCTGGGCGGAATAAGGAGCCAGGAGAGTCCAGCTATTACATGTATGGGCAGACAACTCCCCTGACCACTGAATGCCCAGGGAGGATGGACAAGGAGCTGTCCCTGTTCACAGGGAGGGGTGCTATGGGCTTGAGAAATGGCTGAATCAGTTGCATATTAATATGTGTAAGATTGGGATAGGCATGTATTAGGAAAAAAAATGCCATAGAGGATTGAGATTTAATCCTGGGCTGTTTACATCTCTCTTTAGTACCTAGTGATGTGAAGAATGAACTGATGACTGTACCTGTTGGGAACCTGTCTGGGTCCCTTCTCTCCTCCCTCTCTGATCCCTTCCTTCCTGGCCTATGCTTGACTTTGTTTATCCACCACATTTGGCACTAGTAAAAGATACWTTTCTTCTCATTTAAAAACAGTATGTTTTACAATACTGGGGATAGGTCCCATATAAGAATGATCTTTAGAGTTTGCACTGGGAATCTTGACATACAGAAAAGTAGGAAAAAATGTCTAAAACTGAATAGGGAAAAAAATGCACATCAAATCCAAGAATGCTAACTGCTTGGATGGTCTGGAAAAAGGTCAATTGTAGATAGGTACCAGTTTTTGTTTTGTTTTGTTTTAATGGTGACTAAAAGTTTGCTCATGAAAGTTTTAGAGTACATCACCTTGGAGTGGGATGGGGAAGCTCAAATTCTGAGTGTTTCCAGAATCCAAAGTGGTTGCTCTAAGTGGAGGTAAAGCTTGGGACAGCTAGGAGGAATTCAATAAAAATGAGTTCAGAGATCCAAGGCCTGGACAGAGGAAAAGGATAAAAAGGGTTCTGTCTGTAGCAGAAGTTCAAGGGGAAACCTAGAGTGTCAGCCCTTTCATCCTTGTTTCTAGTGGGCAGAGGAGGAGTAGGAGCCGTGGTTATAAATACCTTCCCTGTTGATTGAGGATTACTGCAGGTGCTGCCAGCTGTGGTAACCTGCGCTGCCTGCCCACCACTGCCGGGTGGACAGTGACCCTTGGGGCTTCAGCCTCAGTGACATTTACTAATATGTTAAACTAAAATAGAAAAATGTTACCACATTTATGGATCCACCTAAGTACCAGTCACTGCTATGTCAAGGGCAGTGTGCCAGGTGGAATGACAACTGTTCACTGTAGGTGGCTCTGCGACAGATGCCTAGGTATCCAGGGACTCGAATATTCGTAGTGATACTGTGTAAATACTTCTGAGTTTAAAAGAATAGCCATCATAATTACAGTTTTAATAATAAAGACATGGAAGCAGGGGTCTGCGTGACATGCATGTGGAACGCAGTAGTGTGGTGAGTTTCAGTGGCACCAGAGACTGGAAGTTGTGTATTTTGACAAAGAAGATGTTGTTACAGGGCTAGGCGCTTGCTTTCCTTTTTCACAATCTCATTGCATTAGTCTGCTAAGGATGCCATAGCACAGTGTCACAAACTGGTGACTTAATCACACACATTTTTTCTCACCATCCTGGAGGTTGGAAGTTCAAGGTCAAGGGATCCCCAGAGTTCGCTTCTTCTGAGGTCTTCCTCGGAGACTTGCAGGTGGCTGCCTTCTCCCTGTGTCTTCATGTGGGCTTCCCTGTGTGCATGTGAACCAGGGGCTCTTTGTGTACAAATTTTTCTCCTCTTAAAGGGTTACTGGTAGAATTGGATTAGGGCAGACTTCCTAAGGGCCGAATTTGAATTTAATCACCTTTTTCAATGTCCCATCTCCAAATACAGTCCCATCCTGAAGTACTAAAGCTTAGAGCATCAACGTGAATTCARACCATGACTCTTACCAAAGTCACACTTCTACTTTTGTTTTAAAAGAAAAACAGTACCAATTCATAATGTACATTTGTCTTGTTGACATTCTTACTTTCTATCAGTCCTGTTATTTTATCTTATAACTCATCTCCACCTATAGAACTGCCTCAAAGCTCACCATCCCTGAGACCCAGGATCTGGGTTCTGTGGAGAGCAGATCTGACTCAGGTTTTCATGTTGTACACGTACATCACGAGAGAATGTGAATATTCAGTTTTCTTATGTTAATCATACCATTCCACCTGTTAGCATGTTAACATTTTAACTATTTATATTCATCAATAAACCATTGCAATTCCATACATCTGTCCATGTTCTAGATTGGTAAACAKAGCACAACACCAAGATCTTGGACAAATTCTGTTTTGCATTTTTCTCTCACAATCACATTCTGTTTGTGGGAAGGAATGGCATCTCTCTGGGTCACCTTTGGTGTCTTCTCACTGTTTTACCTAATTTCAGAATGATGCTGCTTTTGAGGGATGGATCCTGAGGCCTCTTCCTTCTGCCAGGGCTGCATTCATTCCAAGAGATGGCTCGTTTTTCTGATCTCTTGCTCAGATTAAAAAAGAAAAGAGAAAGATGCTTTTCTCATAAGGAAACCTGGCTTTTCAATTAAACTTCCACTGACGTCTTAATTAATTGGTAGGAAACCTTTGGAATAAAAAAAACATAGGAATTTACTAGATTCTGCAGTCAGGAAGGCAGTGAGTCACGACTCCTGGGCAGACATCAGCTGGGGAAGGTGGAGACTTCCCGAGCTGGACCTGTGGAAATTTTTAGGAAACACTGAAGAAACACAGCTGGCAGTTTTCTCCTTACTTTTAATAATAATGAGATTCAGAGATTTCTTACCTGCTTTTCATGACCTAAGGCTGTGCTTTCAAAGTCTCTCTCCCRCTGGCACCAGGAGGGCCAAGGGACCAAATCAGCCACCAAGGAGCAACAGGGAAGTATCCTTTTGGCAGAGCATGGTACTGAAAGTGCTGAAAGCCTGAATTCAATTTTTCCATCCTTGTGGAATTTCGAAATCCCATTCCTAGTTTCTGATTGAAACATAGGTGGGGAAACGAAAGTGTGGAAACGTGTTCCACCAAAGCAAGGTGAGGAATATGAAGGAATGTACAGTGTTTCACAAAAGAGATGGCTATCAAAACATTTTCAGAAATGATATATTTGATTTGAATTTTATTTATTTATTTATTTATTTTTTTACCTGCAACTTCAAGTTTCTGTCTGTTCTTTGGGTTTTAACACAGCTTGACATTCTTTGTGCCTCCATGCACACAGATAATTGGGCAGTTTACTCTGTACCCTGTCCTGTTAAATGGCCAGTCATCACTGAGGGCAGAGAACAGTGGAACCTGTCCAAGAACCAAAGGGCAGAGCACTAGCAGTTTCCTTCCCGCGTGGCAACGTGATGAGAGAATGATGCGGAGGGGAAATGAGTAAGCTCTGGCACCGCCCTGGGCAGTGGTATCCACAGAGAGGAAGTTGAAATCCATGGATTTCCAAAGAACTTGGACAGTCTTTTAAAAATTAACCTTCATTCCTTAACACAAGATCAGATTTATTGTTAAGAATATGTAAATAAACAGAAGGCAAATAATCACGAATAATCTGTCATTTCCTCTTCCACAGACAAGYGCGTTTAATATCTTGGTGTATATCCTTAACATATATCCTTTTAAATACACAGTTAGGCACAGAATTTATAAAAATAGAGTTATAATATTCATACTCTTTATAACCTACCTGCTTTTTATATCTAACAATAGACTCATATCATTAAATATTACTCTTTCCAGCTTTATTGCCTACATGGCCTGCATGTTATTTCATTTTACAGCTTTGTTGAGGTACAGCTGATACATAATATAATTGGAAGTATGTACACAGTAGAGTTAACTAGTCCCCTTCTCCTAGGGCSTTTATATCGTTTTCAGGGTGTTTTCTGAATATCCTCAAGTCAGTGTTCCTTTTAGCAAAATCTGAGTGACTGTTGAAATTATTTTGTTGGATTAAAATTCTTGACTCAGAGGATATCTACATTTTAAAGCTGTTTTAAAATCAGAACAGCCTAGGAGCTTGCCAGAATGTTCTAATTTGTACTTTCCCATTTGTATAAGAATATATCCATTTCTAATACCCTGATCAATACTGGGCTGGAATTCCTACAGATTTTCTAGTTTTTCGAGGAAAAACAGCAGGGAGGTGTTTGAGGAGTTCCCATTCATCTAGGGAATATATAAGTGCYGATTTATTTGTTTGATTGAGGTCATTTCTCCAAAGTTTGGCTGAGTCAGGAATAGTGTAAAAGAGTCTTATAATTATTTTAGTGATAGAGAAAATCCTTAAGTAATTGTCTTCAAAAGGAACAACACTAATTGTGTAAATAATTAGCCCCCATCCACTCTGTCACGTATGTTTCAGAAGACTGACTGATGCTATATATAGGTATATTGCATGTGTGTATAAAGATTGTTGCCATTACAACACAAGAATAGTCTCATGTTAAACTTTCATTATTCAAATTTTCTTTTCTTGACATGAAACATAGCTGTTTCCAGTTTTTAGGTATTGTGAAACTTGAGGTGGCACTTAACACATGCTGCATGCTGCTGTAGCTTTGTTGCTTCGCACCCACACTTGAAAATGGGTTTGTAGTTTTATTCATTGAGCAAAGCGTATGTTCTTAGTGCTGAGCAGTATTTCTGACACTGGGCTAGGCCTGTGAGGGGTAGAGGGAGGTATGTGGGAAGAATACAGAGATGCATATGACAGTTCTGACTATTTGTGTCTTCACCCAAAAGGTGAATTTCTTTTTTTGAAATAAACTTAAATGCTACAGTCAGACTGTCAGTTTCAACTCATACCATTGCTTCTGAGAACCTGGTGTATTTGTAAGTTCAGGCTGTTCTGGGAGGTCCAGGCCAAGCCAGACAGATCAGCCAACTACTGAGCCTAGCAGCTCAGCCCTGCTCATACCTAGAAAGTTTCACCTCCTCAGAGACCACTGGGAGTAGCAAACAAGCTCCCAGACTGAGCCAGAAAGAAGCCTGCTCCATGTGGTTTCTGCAGTCAGCCCCAGCTGAAGGACTCTCTGGTCTTCCCAGCTCTCTCTGCTTTTTTTTTTTTTTTCTTGTGGCTTTTCTCTGCATATCTAAGGGAGTCCCAACTGGAAMAGCCCTTTTGGGGCCCAGCCAAGAATTTGCATCACAAAGGCCTCAGAGGCCAACTTCAGAAAATTCCTTAAACAGGATCTACCCCCTCCTCACCAGCCTTTGCTTTCTCTCTGGGTCTTTGTCAGTCTCACTGGTAATGGAAATGAGAAGGGGTCACAGGGCCAGTTTCAAGAAGAGATTATCTTCTGCTAATGCAGAGAATACCATTCCTTGGGCTGGGGCAAGAGGTTTCTGGCCACTGTGAAACCTTAGCCTTTCCAGGAACCATTTCTCTTCTCACATTTCTTAAAATAAATAAATAAATAAATAAATAAATAAAAGAATATCCTGGGAGGGAGAGAGTATCCCAGTTAGAACAACAGACACATATCACAACAAAAAACACTTCCCTTCTTCTGTAGAATCTAAATAAAGTGAGGGTGCACAAATAGAGATGTGAGGAATATTGACTTGGCCCAGGTATTTTTTTTTGCACTCTGGTCTGGGAGGAATATCCAGGACTGACTGAGTCACTAGTCAAGGTGGAATGCATGAAAAACCTGAAGTTGCTTGGGCCCCCAGCCAGAAAGTTATTTTGAAGCTTTGCAGTGACTACTTAATATATCTCATGCATGTGCACACATTTTATTTCAAAATAGTTTCTAACTTGCAGAAAAGTTGCAAGATAGAGAACTCTCATTTGTCCTTTACCTAGAGAGAAGTCACTCAGTTTTTTTTTTCCTGTTGTCCTGATTGCATCTTTTAATATAAAGGATATATCTCCAGGCAGCACCTTCCACCCTGTTCTTCCACAACTTTGACATTTTTTTAAGATTATAGGTTAGCAATCTAGTTAGCCTGTCCTCCAGTTGGATTTGTTAAAAGGTAATTGGATATGGATCCTTTTCAGGGAAAGGTAAACCTAGGACTTTCTTACAGATGTACAAATGGACATGTGTTAAAAGAATTAATTTTACCCATATGATACGAGGGGACCAGCAGATGGTATAATCATTTCAAAGGGAAAAGTCAAAAGAGAACAAATTTATATGGAGCAAAGGAATGTTGAGATGAATTGCAAATGGAGACCAAACTGGTTTTCCACCAGCAGGGAGGAAGCCAATTAAATCAGTACCAGACAGGACAAAAATATATATCCATTAGTTACCTATGGCTTGCAAGAGTTATAAAATAGCTCAAAGGCAGCACGGAGCCAGAATCTGATAACCCAGAAGGTTATGTATATAGTCTGCACAGTTTTCCATTGAACCCCACATGTTTTTGAGAGGGACAGGTTTGTCTAATGTGTTCTCATGATTGAGCCTGTATTATGTATTCTTGATTGGAATTTCACTGATGCAGATGATTTTTGTTTTTGTTTTTCATTGTATGCTATTGTTGGCCTGTGGTATCTCTTTGTCATAATCACATTCACTTTGACCACTTGATTCAGAACATCTTCAGGTGTCTTCATTGCAACATTTACCACCAACCTTTTGCAATTAATTTATGAATAATTTGTAGGGAGATACTTGGAAACCATGTAAAATCCAATTCCTCATCCCAATTTCACCCACCAGTTTTGACACTAATTTTCTTATTTAACTTACTTCTTCTTATTATAATTTCCAAAGGAGGCTTTTCTGATGTTATCATTTTTTTCTCCATTTTCTAGTTGCCTCTTCTCTGTTGGAAGAGACCTGCATTCTCCTATGTTTCTATTCATTTGTATATTGATTTCCAGTGGAGTGCTAGTGCTGGCTTGTACAACATCCAGTAATAGTATTGCTTTTGCACAGCAACTCTTCCCAGCTTCATGCTCACAGATGTCATGTTGGTACTTTAAATCAGCCATGGTAAAAATAGTGACATCGTAGACATTGGAAAGTGATACACATCAGATTTCTGTGTTTTTCCCCCCAGGACTTTTGTTCTGAAACTTTATCAACATATCACTTGATAATAAATGGGCTCATTTGTTCTGTTTTATTCGGTGGCTATCATCTATCAGTACTATGACTATTGGGATGCTCATCTTGTCCCCGATGTGGCTGGCAGGAGCTCCTTCAACCTAGATTCTGTGTCCTTTTGACCATTTCCCCATCATTTGTTGAGCATTTCTTTGCTTTCTGGCTTAATCAGATGTTCCTAGCATATTTAGATCTTTCCTATCCTCGGCCTTGGCATGAGCCATTTCTCCAAGGACCCCTAGTTCCTTTTAGTGGAAATTTGTGTTTGGCTTTTGCAAATGTCCCCAGCTTCTGCTCAGGCCAGCTGCCCCCTGGTTACCTATTTTTTTTCCCCTCTGCCAATTGTTTTTTGATGAAGGAAGGAAGGAAGAAAAACAATAAATATTTTAAAAGAAAAGCAGTCAAAGGAGGGAAAGGGAAGAAAAGAGAAAAAAAAAAACCTCCTTATATACCTTTTTTCATCGTTTTACAAAACACTAGATTTTCGTCTTCATGCAGCTATTTTAGTTGTTGAAGGAGTTATATTTTATGTGATTGAGAATGTGAAGCCTTCAGAACAGAATCATGCACCAACGGTTTATTGAGTACCTACTCTGTGTGTGTCTGATGTTATGCCAGTTACGGTAAAGATCCCTGGCCTTCAGGGAACCAGGGTAGTGAGATATCCTCTGGCCTGTGGTGTGCAGACACGGGTGCCCCCTGCAGTCTGAATGAGGGAAATGCAAGGTCAGGGAGGCTCTCCACAGGAGCCTAGGGTGAGGTGAGTTTGGGGATACGAGATGACTAGTTGGAAGGAACAGAAGGATCCTTAATACAGCTAGACAACAGATTTAAAGCTAGACTTCTGGCAGGTGTGAGGAATGGAAAGTGGTTTGATCAGAATAAAATCTTTGGTTTCCTTATCTTGTTGAAACTCGGGTACCCTCAAGATTTTTCGTTTGTTGGTTTGTTTAAGTACCTTGTCCCTTGTTGTAGCCAGGTTTACCCATTGCAGGTTTCTTCCCAGAGTTTTGATCTTGGTGTCTGACACAATTTCTCATTATAAGAATTGAAGTGTCTTCCCTTAGAAGAAGCACACATTTTTAAGAAAAAGTACGATTAGTGGATATTTTACCATGAAGGATAATAAATTGTTTCTTTTTAGTCCAGTACTTTTGGGCTTAACTTTTTTCATTGCAAATGTAGGCATTCTTATCCCTAAGGGTCACCATTGAACAGACCCATTCTGATCCAAAGAGAGTGTTCTCATTGTCTTTAGCAATACCTCAATGCAGTGAGTTTTGAGAGTAGTTTAATCCTGATCTTTTGACTGCCTCTTATCATTAAAGAATACTAATTTATTATTTTGAATGATGTTTTAAAATGGATAAAATGGCTTTTCTTGGCAATAGATTCTCTGTCCTATATCCGATGTGTAGTTTTCTTTTCTCTCTCTCTCTCTCTCTCTCTCTCTCTCTCTCTCTCTCTCTCTCTCTCTCTCTCTCCTAAAGATCTAACCCAAATCCCCAGCCCTTTTTATTTTGGGTCTCTCAAAGTTGCTGAGGCTGGCCTAGAACTTGCCATCCTTCTGCCTCAGCCTTCAGAGTCACTGAGATTACAAACACATACCATCATGCCCAGCTAGTCTTGAGTTTTCTTAATATATTATTTGTGTAAAAATCATGGCTTTCAAACATGCTTCTCACACGGTTGTTTTTAAATTTTGCAGACGATACCAGAAATTGCAGAAGATTATGAAGCCTTGGTAAGAATATATAATCAATTCATACGGATAATTTTATACTTCCTTTTTCTTTGTATAATTAAGCCCTGTCCCCTAACTCCATAACTATGCAGCTAGATATTTTGAGTAAATGATTTTTTTCTTTCTTTTTGATGTTCTTATAAACAGGTTCTTTAAAAATTTATTTTCCTTCTCTTTTGCCTTTGTAGTAGAAAGGGCATTTTAGGTTTAGAACCACTAAATGATCACATCAGGATTGCTCTCCTTCTCCTGGAGCAATACTGAGCATAATTTTATGCATTACTTTAAACAGAACTCTCTTTTTTTGTGGCCTATGTGATGTTCAAAGTTAAAAGTCTTTGATTTTTTTCAATGGCTCAGAAAGAAAAAGATCCACATTAAAAAAATATTCAGGACTGATCTGTGGAATGAAAATTATTTGCTCTGGGTCTGAGAAAGTGCTCGATTATCTATGTATTAAGTGGAATGCCTGCAAATTGTGTCTGGAGATCTGAGTCTTCCCCCTTGAATGGCTTTCTTACTCTCTAATCAAGGTGAGTCCAAATAGGATCTAACAAACTCTATTAAGTAGGCTGAACAGATTTCCCTGGAACCCAAGTGTTAATTTCAATTTGAGAAATTTCAAGATAATTTCAATTTGAGAAGGAACACTGAACAGCACCTCAAAATGTGGACCTTATTTCTCAAGCCCTCAGACAAAATCCTTAGCACCTTCAATGTACTCTAGTGTGATACTGAGCTCAGGGGGTTCACCTTCCCCCACTCTTCCCACATAGAAAGAGGATTAGTTACAGGAACTCTTGTGTTTATTAAATTCTAATAAAGTGCATTTCTAGGGTAAAGCTAAATTTTATTTTGGCATACATTTTTAATATAGTAGAAACACTTAATGGTAAAGGCAGTAGAAACCACTTTTATGAGCATTTATCTTGGTCATAATCTCAATGTTACACCCACTGCTTCTTACCCACCCTTATATCCACCACATAGTACAAATTAGCATTCTTTCCTTAATGCAGTGGTTAAAATCAGATGGTAGAGGTAGGATGAAAGTCTTTTTTTCTCTCCATCAACCTCATATAATTTGATAATGTAGAGGCATTTGGGGATCTAAAGCTGAAATAATTTCTTAAAAATTTGCCAGCCAATAGTTTTAGTTGACTAGTATGTAGAGGTGCTGAACAGTTTGTGATCCATTTATCAGTCATGGACAGAAATCAATGATCAGAGAATCAGATGAACACAAATACAGATACTATATCATGGCTAAATATTGTGGACAGAACATCTAAAAACAACCATTTGAAGGCACCAGATAGCAAGGCAGAAAGTAGAAGGAAGGCATCCCTTGACAGAACAGGTGGGCCTTGAATGGGATTTGTGTGTTTGCTGCTTTTTGCCCCAGATCACCTGCTCATCCATGTAGCAAGGGGTGGCAGAAATCCCTGGCATTGGTAAATGACTAGTTTGGAACCGGAAGAGTAGCTTGATCAGTAAAGAGAATCCATGAAAGAAAGGAAGCTCTTATTGTGTAAAACCAAACATCTGCATATAAATTCTGCTGAGATATATTACTGATTATGGAAACATGAATGCACACATATATCTGTGGAAACCCAGAGGGCCCCATAAAATGAATGACTAGAAACTTAAAGAATTGAACAGAGATGTGAGTCACTCACTGCACAATTTGGAGTTTGAGTAACCTTTTGCTAGAACAAAATCAACACTCTTTTTAGAGGAACGAAACTGAATTCTGAGCCTTGACAATGTTTTATCCACAATATGCAGTATACAATAAAAAATTTACTATGTATACAAAGAAATAGGAAAGGATGACCTATAGTTAAAGAAAATGAAAAAGGCAGATAATAGAAATTGACTGTAAGAACTCCAACATTAGGTGTTGGATTTAGCAGATGAAAAATTTAAAACAACTTTTAAAAATATGTTAAAAGACCAAAGAAAAGTGTCTGTATAATGAATGCACATTTGGGAAACCTTAACGGAGACTAAGGTTATTAAAACATCAGAGAAACAAAAAACATAAAAATAAGCAAATGTAAATTTTAAAACTGGAAAGTAAAAGAGTTAGAATGAAAAATTCATTATATAAAGATTGAAGGTGGCAGAAAAAGAGTCAGTAACTTTGAAGATATATACATATAATAGAAAATAGATAAAATAAATAGTGAGTATTTGACCTATGAGATAACAAGAAGTGACCTAAAATATAATTAATTGAAGTCCCAACAGGAGAGGAATAAGAGTGGGAAGAAAAATATTTGAGGAAACAATTATATAAAAACAATTTAGTTTGCTGAAATTCATAAATTAACAGATCTAAGGAGCTCTGTGTATCCCCCAAGAGGGATAAATACAAAGGAAACTCTACCTCAAAAGATAATAGTCAGACTTTTGAATTCCAAAGATAAAATGAAAGCAGTCAGAGAAAAAAAATTATTAATGAAAATAACGACATAAGTTTGAAAACACGAATAAAGGCTGACTTTTTACTGGAAATAATGGAGGCTAGAAGGACCTCTTAACAATCAATGCTGAAAAAAAAAGAAAAAGAGCTTGTCAGCCAGAATTCTATAACTAGAAAAACTCTCTCTGGAAATAATGGTGAACTAAAAACACTTTTAGATGAAGGAAAATGAAGACAGTTCATTGTCAGCAGATCTATACTGCAAGAGGTATGAAGCAAGATTTTCAGACTGAATGGACTTGATACTACCTAGAAATCAGGTTCTATTAGTAGAGTGTGAAGAAACCTGGAAACTGTAAATGAGTGGATAGGTATAAAAGACAAAGCACACTTTTCTTTCTTTTTCTTAGACTTCTTTAAAAGACACGTAACATAAAACTAAAGTTACAGTGTTGTTTAACAGGGTTTATAATGTGTGGAGTTGTAAAATACATGACAAAAATAGCACAAAGGATGTGGATATAAAAGAGACCAGTTTAAAAATATTTAATTAGCCCAGTTGAAGGTAGGAAAAGAGAACTAGAGCACAAGACGTAGTTCGGAAAGATAAAAAATGAATAACAAATCGATTGGCTTAAATGTAATCACCTCAGTTCATAAACGTAAGAGGACTAAGCACATTAATTAAAAGGGTTAGCTTGTCAGAACCTCCCCCACCCCCATCCCCGGCAAAAAAAAAAAAAAAAAAACAGAAAACAAAATGCATGATCTCAGCTATATGCTGCTTACATGGACACATAGACACATGTCTTGCTTGAAAATAAAAGGATGGAAAAACAAACCATGCAAATGCTAATAACAAAGTTAAGTAGTTTTATTAATATCAGGTAGAATAAGATTTAAAGATAATGTGTTATCAGAGATGAAGTGGTATACATAATAAAAATTGGTCAATTCACTAGGAAAATGAAAATGTTAAATTCATATGCACCTAATAATCAGGATTCAAAATACACAAAATAGGAACTGAAGGTCAAAAAGGAAAATGGACAAACCCATAATCCTAGTTGAATATTTTAATGCCACTGTCTCTTAACTGATAGGAAAATTATGCAAAATCAATAAGGGTATAGAAGATCTGATTAATACTGTTGAAGGTCTTCATTGCCATTTATAGAGCATCACACCGAACAATAGCAAATATATATATTCTTTTGAAGGCTCTGGCAAAAAGATCATATGCTTGACAATCAATTTACAAATGATTGAAACTATATAAGTCATGTTCTTGGATCACAAGGAATTTATATTAGAAATCAGTAACAATCATATAGCTGAAAATTCCAAGATGTTTGGCATCATTACCTGAGAGTCAAGGAACAACCTAGTTGAAATTACCAAATATTTTTAACTGGATAGTGTTGAAAATAAAAACATACACCAGAATTTTTGATGAATCTAAATCAGTGGTTTGAGGGAAACTTATAGGCTTAAATGCTTATATTGGAGAAGAATAAAGATTTAAAAAATCAGTGGTCTAAATTTCAGCTTAGGAAGCCAGGGAAAGAATGTGAACTAAGTAAGTAAAAAAAAAGAGAATAAAAATAGATGTGATCAGTGAAATAGAAAAGAAACAAATAGTAGAGAAAATTAAAAGTCAAACCCAAGTTACTTTGCAAACTTTTTTAGGGGAAAGAAAAAAAAAAGAAATCCAGATATCAACACTAGGAATAAGAGAGGTATATCACTATAGATCCTACTGACATTAGCAGCAAAAAAAAAAAAAAAAAAAAATGTTATTGTGAATAACTTTATGCCAGAAAATTTTAATTTTTAGATGAAATGGACAAAGGCTTTGGGAAACAGAAGTTACTAAATATATTAACTATGGAAACAGATGCTTTGAACTCTCTTCATGAAAGATCTTATTGGCTCAACCACCAGGAAAGCAGTTAGCTAGTAGCTTCTAGCTAGAGCACATGCAAGATCCATGGCAGCATTTAAGTCAAGACTGAACCCTTGTCAGACAGTCTCCAGTGGGTCAGCATGGAGAAGGTCCCAGACTCTGGCCATTTCTGCTCACTGTGGGATCCTACAAAGGCAATGTTGGTTTTGGAGTTCCTTACTAGTTAACTGAGACTTTACCAGATCTGCATCTACTTCCCTTCTCTGTTCCTCTCACAGACATCAGATCGGCCTCATCTAATCCTGCTTTCTGCTCCTTGAGGTTTCACAGGTATTACCCAGTCTCCTAGTAAACCTCCTGTTCACTTCTCAGAGGACTAATAATCAAAAAATTGACTCCTGATGAAATAGAAAATCTGAGTGCCCATAGCTATGAAAGAAATGGAATTCATTATCAAAAGCCTTCCCCACAATGAAAACTGGTTCCAGTGGTAAATTCTTGCTAGGAGCCACTGTAAAAGTATTACATTCATATGTTAAATGGACTCCTGCTGTTCACCTAGGCCCGTTTGGGAACTCAAGTTACTGGACTCCCGGACAGTTCCCATTGGTTGGGGAAGGATGGTAGGAGGGTGTTCCGGGGGAAGTGGGGCCCCCGCGCCTG